TGGCCAAAACTTAGAACAGCCGTATCTCCGTTAATAATGGAGATAGAGCAAAATAAACCTTAATTTGGGATCATCGAAAGTAAAATTTTTTTTTTTTTTTTTTTTTTTTTTTTTTCCAATACGTGATGGCTACTTTTTCACGGTGCATTGCTTCATAATGAGTAAATCGGTACAAAAACCGGTAACACTTTATACATTAAAATGGTAGACCGCGGCGAGAGTTGTATTTTTTGATTCGCAGTTCAGTAATCAAGACTTTTGTTTTTGTCTATACCTATAATAAATCTATACTCTACGAAATGGCGATCGGTATTTATCGGTATTAGTATCAGTCGTGAGCATTTTTTACATGTCGTGAAGTTTCGTCTCTTTGACTTCTTAATGTCCGTACATGTACTTTTGACCAAAAAAAAGAAAAAAAAGTTAAAATATTATCCTGAACTTATACATGTATACCTATATGAATATGTTACGATAAAAATGAAAACAATCAGGACCACGTCGCCGAGGAAGGTCGCACGGCGCGCGGAGCTACTGCGGCGGCGAGGAACTGCCTCCGGTGGTACACGGAGAGGAGACATCGGTAGGAGCGGCGGCCGAGGTGACACCCGGGGCTCTGTTGGACTACCGCAGGCTGGTGTTCATAAGCTCGGACTCGTCTTCCGGACGAGAGGAGGACGACGCGGACAGCAGTTGCTCCGGATCTTCCTACCTGAACGGGGTCCAGCCACCCACGCCCGGAGGTACTCACCACCAGCAGCAGCAGCAAAGCCATCGCCACCATCAACAGCAGCACCAACAATCTACCAGTGGCTTGGAGGACTGCGACTGGGACTACTTTGAAAGCGGCACTCTCAAGCTACCCCAGCTGCAATCGTCCCTCCAGACGGACTCGAGGGAGTGGATCTGTTGTCCAGCCAGGTCCTCCACTGCCAACTCGTCGTCGACGTCTTCCGGCTGCTGCCTGGTAAAATTATAAGAGATTACACCAAAGGAAAAAAAAAAATAATAAAAATTGATACAAAACCCTTGGATTGGTGTTGCATTCAACAGGCTTGCGGAGGTTCGAAGAACGCACAGGTACTGCCGGTCCCGGTGCCCATTCCCGTTCCGGTGCTCGTCCCGGTCCCGGCCTCGCTCTGGACCGGAGAATTCGCCGGACTCGACAGGGCTCGGGCGGCCGCGATCGCCAGCTCGATGATCGGCCGCGACGCAGCCACGAGACTCGACCCGTCCCTACCTCTCAGCCTACGGGGCTGCGATCCGTCAGCTGCTGCCTGGTTCTCCTGGAATCCAAGGTTCGACTCGCCGAATTTGCTCTACTCGCCCAGCCACGTCTATCCAAAGGAGCTCTCGTCGTCGATCTCCCCCGGCGATCTCTTGCAATCGGTAAGACAACAATCCACATACTTGTGTGTACAATTGTATAAGCAGCACGTAGGTGATCGATCGATGATTCGTTGACAACAGGAAAACCAGGAGACGGCAAAGAGTCCACCCGGCGAGAGCTACGGTGGTGCTGGGCCGGGAAAGGAGATCAAGGTGGTGGGCGACACGCCAGCCGAGATCGTCAAACAAGCTGGCGAGGAACGAGAAGTGGAGAAGCAGCAGGTGATGTTTCGACGGTCCCAGGAGGTGGAGGACTCATCGGGTCGCTCCTCGGCCGAAAGCAGCGATCTCGAGGACTCGGGCTCGCACAGGTTTTCGCGGGTGCTCAACATAAACGACGATTCCCTGACTAGCGACAACGACATCGAGGACAACTCGGATTCGGCGCGCGAGGGCCATCCGGTCGCGCTCAAACGATCGGCGCTCGGTGAGGTCCCGCTGGACGAGCAGTCCGAGTCTGTGGTGCTGAGGAAAATCCGTTCGTTGGGTGAGGACGCTCCAATAAAAAACGAATCGGCCAACCGATCGCTGTCGGAGGAAGAAGAGGAGGAGGAGGAGGACGGGCCCTCGGAAGCTCGCAACGATTTACGAAACGAAATCGCGAGTTACGACGAGATATACCTGGCCAGCACGCAGGACGACTCGGACAACCTCGTGCTGTTGAAATCCATGCGGCTGATCGACCCCGACGGCGAATGCAATGCCCCAACCGATACCGATTTCCTACCTGCGCATCGCGTATACCCGTCCCAACAGCAGCAGAACGAGGAAAAAGTTATAACAGCTGCAGTAGAGTCAGCGAGCGAAGTAGAGGAGGAGGAGGAGGAGGAAGATAGCTCGATCGTAATCCCGGATTCGCTGGAAGTCAGCATGCAGGATTTGGAAGACAGTATTGAGGTAGCCAGCGACGACGCAGCACTGCTCGCTGTTTCGAGCTCGATAGAAGGGGACTGGGTAGAGGAGGGGGTGGCAGAGAAGGTGGCTGAGGGGGAGGGGCGCCAGCGCAAGGAGCAGGAGAGTCACTACAGCAGCAGCAGCAGCAGTTCGAGCGAGAGCGCCGGCGCTGGCGGTCCGATCGACGCGGTTGCGGTGAAGCAGGAGGAGGAGAAGGACAATTTGCGACAGCAGCTCGGGGACAGCTCGGCTGCCGAGACAGCAGCGGCGGCGGCCTTGATGGCGAAGACCCGCAAAAAATGGCAAATCCCCGCGAGCTTTGACATCAAGGGCATACCGAGCACTCACTTTCTGCCCCAGGAGCGTCGCAAGGAACACCACACTAGTCCCCTGCTGAGCGCAGCTGTTGAACCCCAAGAGCTTCAGCCCGAGGACGATGACGAGGAGAACGTGAATAACAACAACAACAACAATAATAATAACAATGCTGTGTTGGAGGAGGAGGAGGAAGTAGTGGATGCCGAGGGAAGCGTGACGGAAAAGCTCGATGCGCATGACGAAAGTGGCTGCGCCGCTGGCAGCGAAAGAGTGAGAGGAGCAGCGCCCGAGCAGGTGGGAGGAAGTACCGAGGAGCTCGAGGCCGCGAAGCTGCTTCCGAGGTACGGCCAACAGCGCGCAGTAGTCGAACGGCGCACGCCCACTCTCGACGAAGAGGTTTTACTGCACCCGGAAGAACAACAAGAGGAGGAGGAGGATGATGACGTTACAACGACCGCTGCTACTACCACTACGACTACCGGTGTTGCCTCGAGTTCGCAGTCCTCCGGGGCCGCGCGTCGCCTCTGCTATCCGGACTCTAACCTCGGGCTCAAACAGCTCCAAAACAACGTCAACAACAACAATAACATAAGCGCCGCCGTCGCCGCGAGCAACAACAAGTACCGGAGCTTAGTTATGATCACCCAGGCGGCTTACCAGCCCGTCAACGTCATCACCTCGGACACGACGACTCTGCTGCAACCTGCTCCTGGTCAGATAGACCAGAACAACTACAATTTCCAACTGAGCAGGCTGAGCGCTGGTCCAGAGGCCGCTCGGTAATACACATTATTTGATTGCCCACCAATCGTGTCTCTATCTCTGCTTTTTTTTTTTTTCTTTTTCTTTTGGTTCACGAAATTCCCTGAGAAGATAAAGTGTGCGGTACAATGTGCTCGCGGTTTTTAACTCGTGATCCGTGTCCCGTTAAAACAGTGTGTGTGCGTGTTTCAAATTTAAAGTGCTCGCTGCTGCGTGTTGTGTATGCGCGCACTAGAGATCCCGAGTTTCGAAACTTTTTTTTTTTTTTATTTTTCCCAGCTAATAAATATAATACGTTCTGAATGCATTCTCAAGTGCATGTTCGATGTGTGTTTGGTTCAACGCGGAGCTTGTTGATTATGAGTTTAGGGTATAAACTTTTTAAAAATATATTATAACGAGCGAGCACTTTTGGAATGCGGCCAAGGATCGAGAGACCGTTATTACGCGGATTTCTGGTTTTTTTTTCTTTCTTTTTTTTTTTTTTTTTTTTTTTCTGACACGATATGAAGTACACATACGCGCGTCGAGATTTAGCAATAACTCTTGGAACTCTGTACTACGAGCTGTGCGTGACTTTTAACCGCTAAAATGTAATTGTTACAGAAGAAACAACATCGGCAACCAGGGCCCACCGAAGAAGCCACTGCCGTGCAAGCGCCTGCTGACGAATCCCGAGCCAGAAGTGGACAGCGGCCTGAGCGTCGGTAGCGCGAGCGAAAGCGACGACGTGCAATCCGTGAAAAATGCCTCGAAGCAGCACTCCTCCTCGCGCAGTCCCATCTTCCTCTCCGGTCACGAGGACGAGTCGTCGTCGTCGACTCCACCACCGCCGGCGCAGCAACACTTTTCGACGCACTCCGAGAACACCTGCCCGTACGAGGCCCAAAGACGCGGTCCCCTGATCCTCGAGGAGGGCCTGGCCGACGATGACTCCTGGGTCGAGGAGATATCGCACGACGAGGACGAGGCGAGCATGACCACGGCCACGGAGGAGAGCTCGGAAGACGAGGCGGCCAACAACCTCGGGGACCGCGAGGAGGAGCTCCGCGGTTATCACCGGCAGGCAATAGACTTCACGCTGCACACGATAGTCGAGGAGTCGTGCGAGGAGAGCGAGAGCGAGCACACGAGCGCGAGCTGGAGACGCCGTCTGGTGTCCGCCTCGGCTCCCGACCTCGACAGGTACTATTTCTTCGGGGTGGGCAACGACGCTCACGCTAACGGCAGCTCGAGGGAGCTCGACAGCCTCTCGGAAACGTCGTCCACCTTCTCCGAGGGCCTGGATTCTTTGACGCGTGAGGAGGCCATCGGCCATCAGCAGGGCACGGGCACGGAGAGGACGAGCGGCGAGTTTGCCAACGGGCCCGTGAGGATGGAAAAATACTTTTTGACCGAGTTTTTGAACCTCGACCAGGACCGTAGGGACTCGGACGGCTCGGTGGGCAGTGACTCCGAGGGTAGGCCGAGTCCCGAAGCGCAGCGCAGAAAGCGACTGGTTCGCGCGCGAGGGACCGGCAGGTCGCACAGCTCGTCCCTGGACAATTTGTTGGCGCTAGCGGCGTACAATTCCAACTCGGGCTCGCACCAGAGTTCCCTGCAGGACGGCAGCCCGGCCACCGACGGCCAGGAGTCGCAGTCCGAGGGCTCGTCCACGGAGACGGATGGCATCGACGAGAACCCGACGCCGGCTTTCGGCACCGACACCAACCAATTCGACACCGTCAAGCGCAAAAAGAAGAAGCCGCGTGGCAGTGGAGGCACAGGACAGAGTCCTCGCGTTACCGAGGATCGAAACAGGACGCCCGAGCCTCGCGAGACCCTCGAGCTACCCGCGGAGTTGGAGGAACAAGAAATGGAGGAAGAAGAGGACGCCGACGTAGTCGCCAATTCGGAGGAGGACGGTGCTAAGACGCCACAGCCGGAGAGCATCCTGGCCTGCAGTCCTCAAGCAGAGAGCGGTCACAGCTCGCAAGAGGACGCGAGGGCGAAACAAACGTCGAGGGATTCCGGTTTCGTGGGCAGCTGCGACGACCTGTTGCTGCAGCCAAGGAGCATAGAGATGCCAGCCGCAACGCCCAACGATCGCAAACACCACCACCACCTCCACCACCATCATCAACACCACCACCACCACCATCATCACCATAACCATCATCAACACCACGGGGACGCGGCACAGACGACCAAAGAGCTAGAGGTGAAGGAGCACGAGTTGGACGACAAGAGGGAGGAGAAGGGCGATGGGACAACGAACGAACGACCCGTCAAAGAGACGGACAGAAAGATGCACGAGAGGATACTGGAGAGCCAGAGACTGAGAGAGAGACTGACAAAAATGGAGCCGAGTGGCTCGCTGCTGTCACGCAAGGACAGCTTCAACAACTGGTCGAGCGACGAGGAGACGAATCTCATGATGTCGAAGATGCGCCAGTTCTTCAAAACGATGGTGGCCAGCTCGTCCAACGTAGCCGGGCCCAATCAGCCGGGCAGTAGTAACACAGTTTCGAGCGCCGGAGCCTCGCCCGCGCCCAGCCCTAGTCCAAGATTGTCCGGCGGCTACTCGTCGAAGGCTCGAGGCTACGGTCACGCGGCCCCGAACCGAACGAAGCCACCGCAGCTGGTGTACTTTGAGAACGAACTGACGAGACTCATGAAGACAGTGCCGGGGATAAGGGACGAACAGGTGCGCGAGATCGTCGAGTACCTCAGCTCCGAGGACACGTGGTCGGACTCGTACGACAGCTCGGACTACACGAGCTCGGACCTCGAGGGCGCGGCAGCTGCTGCCGGTGGTCGCAGATCCGCCCTCCAGGAGCAGATATCCCAGAGCTGCCAGCAGATCATCAGCAAGTTCGACTCGACGGCCTCCACTGGCTCCGACGAGACGAGGTCGAGTGCCGGATCTGCTGACTCGAAAAAGGATCCGCAAGCGACCGCGAAACAAGGCGCCCATCAGCAGCCAGGATTCGGTAGGGACACGGCCTTTGTTTATCAAAAGCTCGTGCAGAGTTTCACGAAAATGGCCGGGGACAACAACAACGTGGCCAGCGACGCTAGCAGCTCGACGCCCCACAGTAGTCCGCCCCTAATCGCCAAGGTGATGCATCACATCGGCAGTAGACTCGTCGCCTTAATGCACGAGGTGTCCGAGAGCAACTCCACCGGTGGACACTCGCACAGTACGGCCGGTTGGAGGAGGTACCCGCACCATCGCACACCGTCGTCGGCTTCCACGACCGAAGACGACGACTCGACCTCGGACTCGGCGAGTGCGCCGGTGGTGAGTTTTATAGTTTTATCGCAGAAACTCGTTTAGTTGCTTACATCGGGACATTTATTATATCTCATTGTTCTCGTTACAGTACATACCTCGCTCGAAATCCCACGACCCGCTGCTTCTGATAAACGGGCACGCGGGAGCGACGAGCATGCCCCCCGAGGCCGAGGAGCGCGAAGCCAGCGACTACGAGCGCTTCTCCTGGCGGGGCAGCTTCGAGTCCGCCCTCATGGCTGCCGACTCGCGTACCAAGCTCAGTCTCCTGGCGTGCTCCGGTGGCGACGTCAGCAGCGTCAGCAGCAGCAGCACCAACGCCATGGCTGCCAAGCGACGAAGCGCCGGTGACTTGCTCTTCAACCCCAAAAGCTTCTCTCGGGAGCAGCTCGACAGGGTCAGGAGCTGCGGGTCGATCGGAGGCGCGGTTGGGGCTGGACCCACAGCTGCCTGCGGTGGATCCATCGAGGAGAAAATCTGGAGCAATAGAAGGAGGTCGTCCGTGCCCGATGCCAACACGAGAGGCGGCGGAGGAGAATCCGGAGCGTCGGCTGGCGACGAGGACACGGAGGACGACGAGGACGATGGTCTGGAGTACAACTGCCAGGGAGGCGATCCTCGCGCGACGACGCTGCCTCGTGGCTTGCAAATGAGCGGTGGTTCCGGTGCCAACAACGTGTCGTCGGCCTCTGGTTCGGGCACGACCAACTCCCTACCCAGGCAGACGAGCAGTGGATCCTCTGCGATGCACAAGGCGCACAGCGTCTACCACTTTCTGCCCCAGCACAGTGCCGTCAAGTCGGCAAGATACCGGCCGCCCGGCTTTGCCGCTAGGAACAACAGTCCCGGTGCTATGATGCAGCCTGGGCCCAAAAGAGCGCTCAGTGCGCCTGGACTGCAGCTGCAGTCTCGCTCGAGAAGATCGCAGAACATCGGACAGGTGGCATCGTCCAGTGCCAATGTGTCCGCCAACACGTCCGTGTCTGCCGGTGAGTCTTTCTTTTTTTACCATCGGGTTGTCACCGTCTCGTAGTTTTGTTTGTCTTGATACTTTAAGAGTTGAATAACGCGTTGCATATTCATGTAAGTATAGAGACATCTCGGCAATTATTGATTCGAAAGTGAAAGGTGGATCTGGTGACAACTACCAGTTGTACCTGTGCGTGTAGAGGGGAAAGCTAAACTTGGAACAAAATTTGCAAAGTAGTACGTAGGAAGCGAATGCTTGACTAAATAAAATCCATCCAAGCGTTGCTGGATTGACGACCAAAAAAAAAAGAAAATAGATTTCTATCCTCTACATTGCGTCACACCAAGATGAATTTGCCACTCCAGGAGTAGACGAAAAAAAAAAAATCACGTTTTTCTTGAGCATGCAAAGGTTGACGCTAAAATCTGCGTCCTCGTAACTCTGCGTGTGTGTATAACACGCTTGTTGTTATATGTATATTATTTACCAATGATTTCGAAATCTGCTAGTGGTGAGAGAGCAAGAGAGAGACAGAGCCATAGATTACTGCTGATTCAGGCGTTTAATCGCCTAAAAGTAAAGAAGCGAGCAATTGATGTGGGTAGGTGGCAACTACAGTTCTTATTTTATTCTACACGTCTCTGTCTTATTGTAGGTACCTACGTAAAAAAAAAAAAAAATTTGTCTCCCACTCGAGCCGTGAACTGTGTCGCTCATTAAATTATCCATTCATTCATTTGGCACTATATCAGAAGAAATCTGTTCATTCTTTGAATACATGTATGTATGTACATATATACCAATACCGATTTGTGTACCGATCGTAGGTGGTATACAGCAAATATTTCCCGCACCGCAGGTAACCACCTACTTATTTTTCTGCTCACTTGAGAGAGAGAGAGAGAGAGAGAGAGATGAAAGGATGAAAAAAGAAGAGAGGATGACGTTTAGAAAGTTAGTGCGAGCAGCTAGATCGGATCTGAGAGGCCAAAGCGGAGCGCCTGGAATCCCGCGGCGGCGCAACTGCGTAATGGACGGTCGCTCGGGCTGGATTTTCGATTGCGACATCCGTTGTCTCTTTACCTCAACTTGTATACCTACGTATAAACATATACTCACTTACTCGAGTACCCCTAACTACTATGTGCCTCGACTTTGCTGCCATAATCGTGATCCCACAAGTAAGCCGTAGAGAGAGAGAGCCGGTTTACTTTGAAATACTTACGCTCGATCCCTCTGGATCGATACATTATTTACGACGGAACGATCATTGTTTCGTTTCTATTCTTTTTTTTTAATTTTTTTTTTTTTTTATTCGAATACTCCATACAGTGTCCCTTCCTGGGGAGGACTCGATATTATTCGGGAAATCTATCAACTTCTCTGTCCCCTCCAATGTCGTTGTCCTACTTGTAATCGCCGTGCGTTTACTTGCACGACCGTCCGGTGCTCTTAGGAAAATTAGCATGGGTGTTTGAAATTTTTTTTTTTTTTTTTTTTTTTTTCAGCTGAGTCAGACGCGTGTTTCTCGCCAACCACCCCATGAGACACGTTTTGCACGTTACACGCATATTTGTACTAATAGTCACCGGACACGGCAGCCTTACTCTATACATACACATACGACTTGTTACTTGTTATTAGAGTGCGCAGACTTTTACCTCTCTTTCTTTGTTTTCATGACGAATTATAGAGAGACCATAACTACGAATAAAGTCGACCACGAATATATACAATAATAATTATATGCGATTAGGACAAGACCTCGTCAGTTATTGGGTGCACCGTGAAAGTGCATTAGTAAGCAGTATGATCCAATTCCGTGTCAAAAGAGATGTATAGGTATATATTAGTATCAATAGTACAGATGCGGATGTGGAGGAGGACGATGAAAAAAAAAAAAAAAAAAAAAATGATTTATGCATACGATACTTTACGAGTCCGGCAACATTTTTCTCTCCTGTTTTATCCCTGATTGCGCCTTAACGCGCCTACTTAACTTCCTTCCTACTATAGGTACCTACACGGGTATGAATTAAACGTAGGTGGGTACACACGTATTTCCGATCTTTTATTGCATTTTCCAAATCCACGTATATATCTATATATACTTACGCCGCGTGCAGCACATTGTCTATACAATCAAATTCCCGTGTCCCTCATCGCTATATTGTGCATTTCGTGTACACCTATTCGTAAGTATTTCGTATAATACTTGCACGTATCGGGCGTCACTGGGAAAAGATGAGGGGAAACTTTGTCCATCCGTTATTTCGATTCAGATCGGTAGTGTTTTTTATTCATATGATAACTGCGTGTTGATCGAATTTACGGTAAACTAAAAAAAAAAAAAAAAAAAAAAAATCCACCGAGTCCCACACTACCGCTGTCCCTGCGGTGAAAAACAAAAAAAAAAAACTCCCTCCAAAAAAAAAAAAAAAAAAAAAAACATTACCACCAAGACGGATGTTATACATAAAAGTCTAAATTTTCAAACTCGAATCGTAAATTTGTAAAAGCAATGATCGGTAAAATGGAAATCGATCGGAGTGTAACATAAACCGAAAAGATGAATGACGTCTGATATGTTCGAATACTGAACTATTTCGGTAAATGTTGGGCATCTCCCGATTTTGAATTTCAATGTTGAATCTATGGCAAATTCTCGAATGAGTCGGCAAAATTTCTACAATAAAAGTCTCGAGTCGAAGAAAGCCGCGTGTACTTGAGTGACAGAAACTTGAAAAGTGTGTCCAACTCAATGGAGTCTTTTTTTTTTGTTGTTGTTTCAAATCCATCGAGCAAAAAGTGCTTTTATGTGTATATTAAGCATCCGCGTAGTCAAGATAATCACAATTACTATCAGTCCTCGTTACACTTGCACAACCTATACTCGCCTATAAACATTGTAACTATATTTATGTACTTGTGCACGGAGATCATAGGTTTCTCTGCTCCCAACATCCTGTCGCGTGCGACTGGAATTTCTCCAGCTCCGCACTGCTAATGTAACTCGTTCTTCTGACTCCAGCGTACGTATTATCCATTGTTTGGCATAATATACGTATGAGCCCGCTCACGATAATATACATACGTAGGTATATAAGTTATAACTTTTGATATAGATGCTCACGCGTGGAAACAATTGGGAATGAAGTGTGAATTCCTTTTCCTCGGAGAAGAGTGCGGCACAATGCTATGCTTATCCAAGTATATAGGAATTCATACTCCGAGAGTGGAGAGGCTGTCGGTGTGCAAAACAGATGATAGTAGGTATAGACACACACACACACTCACAAATATCAGTATGGAAGAAGGAAAGTAAGGAGGAAGCGAACGAAGGAGACTTTCGCGCGCCTACTTACAAGTACTTGTGATGTGAGAGCTCTGTACGCGCTCGCGTTACGTGCATCTACGTTTTGCTTATTGTTATTATTATTATTATATATCATTATTATTTTTATACCTATACCTACGTATTGTTATCCTCGTGCAAGCTCCCACAGCACACTTTTCGCCCCGAGCTCCGTAAATAAGTTTTAAGGCTTCGCACTCAATAATTTCCAGCCGATGATCATCAAATGACATTATTTCTAATATATACATGATAATAAGTACATATAGTACGGATAATGCATGATTATAGGTGCGAATTTTCATTTCTATTCGAGGCATGCGTACAGTCACTTTATTTACGTACATATATATATATATTATATACTTACTTATGTAAAACGCAATAATTTTTATGTCATTAGCAAACGGAGAAAGTAAAAATGTACGTACCTAATTATAAAAAAAATGTGCTAGCCATCATGTACGTACGCATGTGTATGTAATATATTTGAGATAAAAATAAGGCTTTTTTTTGATATTTGTGAAAAGTATATAGGTATTATACTTACTCGGTTCTCCCAATTGCGTTTAATTGCCCATCAGCAGGTGAAAAACCATCTTATACCCTGCTAATTGGCGTCAAACACGTACACATGACGCAATAAGAAGAAAAGACGACGAGGGCGTCTGCAGAAAAAGGGGCAAAGAAACAGTTACTTATACGTTTCAACTTCAATTAGAGCGAGCTTCGAGCTTGAACACCGGCTTGACATTCCTCGAGAGTCAAAGGCGACAGAATGGGACAAACAAAACGCGCGTTTAGGCAAAAAAAGAAACCTGCTGACGCGATTTTGCAAGACTCTCTCTCTCTCGGTGCAATTGACACGGATCCCCAAATTGTGCCAGCTTGTACAGTGTGGATGGACATGCACGTAAAAAGAAAAAAAAAAAAAAAAGGAATCGAGGAGAGCGAATATTCGTATAGACTGCAGCTCCATTCTGTATACCTAATACCTACTATACATCACCCACTCGAGACGTTCTCACCTTGACACACATGTATTATTTTTTATACTCGCGCAATGTCCCTCTCCATCGTTACTATACGCATTACAACTGCAAAAGCTAGGGGTTCTCCAGACCATTTGTAATAACTCCATCCCTTGCTACGCGTACGAAACATTTTTCTCTCGTAAAAGTAGCCACGTATACATGGTGTGTAGTGTACAATGCCTATATAATTATGTACACGTGTATACGCGAAGGCGCATCGTGCGGTAGGATTTTCCGCGCTCCCATTGCTTACAGCTCTTGTACTGTACATCTGTGTACCTGCAGTACCGCGCGAAATATATGGAAAAAAAGAAGTGAGGTGAGACTGGCGAGAGAGCCAAGTGGGCCAACACGTCTGCCGTTGCTGTTGCTCATCGCGTCGGGAAACTCTGAGACTTTGAGCCGAGCGCGCATCATTCAAGAAATACTTATCCACGCGTCCTCACACAGTTCTTACTTTTACCTTTTTACGATGCTTTTTTTTTCATTTTTCCCTTCACACTTGTTTTTCTTTGTTGTTTTTTCCATCGTCTGTTTTTCTACGACGTTGTCACGTATATGTACATATGAAATTGGTTGGCGGCGATTGCGGAATATACACCCATATTCGCGAACTCGAAAAACTGACTTTTTCTCAATCCCTCAGTTTTTCGAGTTTTCGTGAATATGTGTCCGCGTAGTGTACGTATACTTACGTGTTTTTGCGACGCAACGGAAGCTACGAAAAAGTAATGAGTCAACGTGTAGCGGCGGACCAACGTCGAAGAGCCGCAGGGTGTATGTATGTATTATAAGAAAAGCTCCTCGGAGGACTTTGTAGGATACACCAGCTATTATATATAGGCTCAGTTCCTCCATCATGTCTTGGAATATTTACATTATTTCTCGTGGGTGCAGGTATATGTACTTACGTCTTCGATGTCGGCGAACGAGGCCTCTTTTGCAAAAGACGATCGACGTACTATATCTACGCTGCCTTGCATGAAAAATATATAACATTGGAGTCGAGTGCCAGCGGCAATGGTATAGTTTTTTTTTTGTTTTTATTTTTTTTTTATCATCATAATGTATATTGTAGATGACAAAGTCACGCTGACCCTTTATTTTTTATATATACTTTTGAGTGCCACGCGTGTGCACGTTGCGCTTATTCAATTCGTATAAGTATACATTATATATTATCCAACCCGGATGTTTTCGCGGTGGTGCAGTCAAAGCTGTAATCAAACGACGAGGCAAACCTGTATATAGGTAATACCCAAATTTTGTAATTTTATTGGAAAGGCCGCTCGACATCGCCTTGAGCAACACCGATTTAAAAAATTCGCCTAGTACTATGTAGTACTTGGCGCAGCTGCACTTTCACTCGGAGGTAAAAGTGTGTCCACTTTTGCATGAAAGATTCAGCGAAGGCACGCAACGATCAATGGGCACTCGAAAGAATCGATGTATCTATCCGTATGTGAGGTGTACACATTAATTTATAGCACATAGGGCATTGGTGTGTATACACATCTGATGGAAAATGACTGCGTCCTAATTATATATCTATATATGCATGCAGTCGCTGGTGGAGGCTTTCACGTTTCGCCGGATGCTCATTGTAGATACAACCAATCGGAAGCACACGCTGGAGTTTTTCTACTTTTTTTTTTCCCACGCATGAGCGATCGTGAACTCCTGGCAATCTCTTTTACTCGACTATTCTCTCTCATTCTCATTTTTTTTTTCTCTCCTATTTTTGTTTCCACGCGCCACCGATTTTCGAGACGATGCTCTTTCTCCCGGAGAAATTCGCCAAACTCACACTTATACAATTATACATATATGTATATAAATACATAGAGTCGTGATTGCAAATTTTATTTCAACAAACAACAAGAGAAACGAAAATAATGTATCAAGACAAACAGTCGCGCGTACGTATTTACAATACATGTGAAAATAGCGTGCATGCGTATATCACCACCGACAGCCGCCGCGCCGCTGCAACTTATCAGGCCCCTCTTTTTTTTTATCATCGACTTTGCTCTCTCCAATAACGAATTCCGTCCACAGATGATAACGCGAGCTCGTCCGACTATTGTAATAATAATGATAATGATGATAATTGTTGTTATTGTTTGTACCGCACAGACGAGGCAAGCTTGTCGGAGGCGTGCAGTACGCCCATAATCGGGGCGAGTTCGCGAAACTCCTCCAGCAACGCCAGCATGGACCTGATGGACGACATCGACCGTGGCTTGAACGCCACCCGGGCCTCCTTATCCAGCCTCGGGGTAAGTCAATGCGTGATGCATGTCATCTTGTGCCTATCATTATCATGTTGCCCGAATGATCCGTGTATTATGTATACATATTATATGCTTTTTATTTATCCGTTTTCTTTTCCTTTGCCATACGTATACCCACACGTAACGTATATAAATATAGCTTCGACACTGATACGAGGCTACGAGCACTATATGTATAAAACCACTTGTAAACAATGTGAAAAAACAACCGTAAATTGTGTGCGCAGGCTCGCTCGGACTCGATGGCTTCGGTGTACAGCGGAGCCGGGGAGGGTCGCTGGTGCGGTTCCGTAGCCGTCAGGGGCGAGGTCGAGTTTTCCCTCCAGTACGACTACAAACAGCTCACTCTGGAGGTTCACGTGACGCAGTGTAAGGATCTCGCTCCCGTCGACGTCAAGCGCAATCGTTCCGATCCGTACGTTTTTCATCTCTCTCGCTATACTCGTACATTGCTACCAATGTTTTTGTTTCTTTTCTCCCTTATTTCATTTTGTGCTCACTTGATTTTCATTGCAGTTACGTGAAGGTTTACTTGCTGCCGGACAAATCGAAGAGCGGCAAGCGCAAGACGAAAGTGAAGAAGCACACGCTGAACCCGGTCTTTACCGAGACGCTCAAGGTACAATAATATTGTAGTGCACCTATATTATGCTTTGGGTTTTGATCGAACATTTTATTTTTCTTACGACTGCTCGGTTACAGTTCCACACGAGCCTGAACAACCTCGAGTCGCGGACGTTGTGGCTGACTGTCTGGCACTCGGACATGTTCGGGCGAAACGATTTCCTCGGGGAGGTGCGGATGCCTCTGGAGAACAAGATCTTTGACGATCCGAGGCCTCAGTGGTATCCTCTGCAGGAACGGGTAAGACTCTCGATTTGCGATGCCTGAATACCACAACTACTACTACTACTACTACTACTACTGTTTTTCTGATCCAACAGACCGAGCCATTCGACGACCCTGTATCGTACAAGGGCGAGGTAATAGTCGGTCTGAAGTTTGTGCCGCCCGATCCGGCGCGACAGGAGCGCGAACGCGAGTCGGGCGAGCACCGTAAGATGAAAAAGAACTGGAGCAGAGGCGCTCTTCACGTCCTCGTGAAAGAAGCCAGGAATCTGCAGACCCGTGCCAAAAACTCCGGCACCTGTGATCCGTTTTGTAAAAGGTTCGTTTTCTCCAAATTGTGCAGTGATCTGGTTTTGTCCCTCGTGTGCATGTAGAATTTTTCCCTCTTTCGTTTCGCAGCTATTTGTTGCCGGACAAGGGTCGGTCCGGCAAGCAGAAGACTGGAGTCGTGAGAAGATCGACTGGCTCTCCCGTATGGAATCACACCTTCGTTTACAAGGATGTCAGCTTGCAGGAACTCGCCGAGCGTGGCCTCGAACTAACGGTCTGGGATCACGATCGGATAGCTAGCAACGAGTTCCTCGGCGGTGTTCGTTTCAACCTTGGCACTGGTTCGTACAAAAAAAATTTTTTTTTCTTTTCAACTGTTTTTTACTAAAGCAAAAGTGATTTTTTAAATTAACGCCTCCGTAGGTAAACATTACGGTAAAGCGGTCGATTGGATGGACGCGACTGGGCGCGAAATGTCGCTTTGGCAGAGCATGCTGGAACGTCCGAACTTCTGGGTGGAGGGAGCCGTGACACTGAGACCGAATCTGCACAATCACGGCAAAGCCGGTACATCTTAGAAGATTATACCGATTAATTTTGTGCCCCCCTCCTCAAATAACCACCTTAACCGATACTTGGAAGAAAAAAGTGCCTTTAGAAGTAATAACAATAACGCCAATTCTTTCATCTCGAGATAAACGTATGTATTGTAATAGGCTTCGATAATACTATTGATATCATCGTTTTCTCTCGTCGCTATGAGGAGCAATGATTTTTTGAAATGTGATTTTTCCGAACAATTTGTTTTTTTTTTTATTCCGTGCACCTTCTGTTATCGTAAATCTTAGATTTTTTTTTCTTTTACGTATAGATGCAATATTTACCAAGATTTTTTTTTGATCTTATTACACAATGAGTATTTGGATAAAAACATGAACAACTACTGGAGCATCTCAGTAGTTCTAGGAAATTATATTTTGTTATTTATTTGATGTAGTGATCCGTGTACAGGTAGCTGTATAAACGAACTGATTAGAATCATTGGCTTTGCTATTTATACTTATGAAAACCTGATCTGATTGATAAGAAAAAGCCGAATGCCAAATAGATATAATTTTATTTTCTGAATAATTGTTGAAAGAAAGAAAAAAGGAAAGTAAGTTTCGATCTGTGTATTTATTCTTTGTGGCCAAAACTGTACTTTATGTCAGACGATCGCTGTTTAAAAGCTGTACACATGAAAAACGAATACACGTGGTGAGAATAATGTTTTTTCGTAGAGGTGAAAAGTAACTTGGTTCGACTGTTGCTTTTTATAAAACACCGATGATGCAAAATTGCATTTATATTTTACAACTCGACTTTTTATTAGTCACCTGTAGAAATAATGTAAACAGCCCCCCCCCCCACTGGAGGAGAGGACATCGGTGTGTTTGAGTGATTAAATATGCCAGATTTCCTATTCGATAAGCATAGTATTTTATATTTATGGAAAATAATAATACGTTGTACAAATGAATTGAATTATACATTAAAAAAAAAAAAAGAGAAAAAAAATCGAGAGTATTAATTATAAAATAAAGCGCGTGGGAGATGGAGAATCGTTTGTTGCAAGCGATATATATTTTTTAAGACGACAAAAGGCTGATGTACTTACGCGCGTGTTGTGTATTTACATAAGCTAACTTTGTTCAATTATTGATATACTTACTTCGCGAGACTCACTTGAATGCATAACTAAGATTACTGGTATGATTATCAAATGAAATTAATAAATCTTAGGATTTTATTAAACTTGCAAGATTTATTATTAACATAGCGCGTAAGTTGAGAATTTTAGACAATTTCAGAAAACAACAGGGTCATCAGATTGAGCCAATAAAAAAAAACTGCCTGAGTGCGATGAAAAAAAAAATTTTTTTTTAATAGATAAAAGTACTTAGTATTGAAATTTGAGTGCATGCATGTGTCAAATTTTCGTATGTGCAATACGTATATGTAAACAATCATATACGCGCAAGAGTGTATCGTCGGTAACTTGTCGGATAAAGTTTGTGAAAATATGCGCGAAAGGACTAGCATGAATGCAATACACGTATTTTATGATTATGTATTATTCCTCAGTCCGTCATATTAGAGGCAAACTCGACGTACGTGGTATCGTCCTTTATTTTAATGAATTGAGGTAGGTGGAGATTGCCGCTCGCGAACCCATTTCTGTAAAGTAGAAGTGAAAGGTCGAGCGATCGTTAAAGAGAGATCTTATTTATAACTTATTATCATTATCATCATTGTAAATGTAAATGAAATAAAAATTCTTTTTTCTACCTTGAATCGCAGTAGTCTATTTGTTCCATCACATAGAACGTTCTTTATATCACAGGTCGTTGTTGGAAATGAATCTGTTGCCTTCAGAATTTTTCCCCGAATAGCGATACCTGCATTTTCCATACGCACCTTTTGCAACACAAAAGCATTACCCCACCGTCAAATAATCGCGTTAATAATTGATAATTATGTACATGTACCTTTATGATCCTGGGGGCCTCTGACTGTGGTCGGCAGAGGCGTGTAATTAACGTAAAACGAGGCCTCGTCAAACTCGTTACTGGCTGGTTTTCTGTAGCAGTTCCCTCCTAGCTGGTCATCAAGCAATTTTGGCCTCACCGTCTTCAAGAATCTACCCCTACGTTGAGCTTCGGCTCGCTCTGTTTCGCCGATCGCCCGCGAGTCTAAAAATCGAAGGGTGCCCGGAAGCACGTGGATGGCGTACAATCGGTAACGCTCGTAGTCGTCCTCGTCGTTTTTACTCGGTGCTGTCAGCTGGTCCGGGCAGCCAGGGTTACCCAGTAGGCTGACGTAGCTTATGCGTGGGCAGCACTGGCCGATCCGGTCGAGTGCGGTATCTATGTCCTGGATCTGATATCTCATCGATCGGTCATTGAGATTAAGTATTCTTTTTCGAACTTTTGCTTATTCTTCGCGACGGCATTTACTTAGCTGTTTACCTTAAGAAGCTCATCTGCCTTTTTTCCTTGTTTCTTATTGTTTTTTTTTTTTATTTTTGTTTTTTTTTACAACGAGTTTTGGAGGCTTTCGTTTAATTTGCAAGCTTCAAAGTTTTTTTTTTTAATACATCACATCCGACGATTTTATATTTCAATCAAAGTTTTTTCAGGGCTTGCGTAAAATACAACGAGTTGATGGAAAATCGGATTTTTGTCTGTCAAAACATCAAACAGGAAATAGATTTTTCCGCCCTCGGGTGGTTTTGGGAGGCTGGTACTTCCTCGGGCAAAAAAGCAGTTTTCCGGAACTCGTTCGAAAAGTCTCCTTTACGAACCTCGTTACGTCCCTCGCCTTTGGCTCGGGCCGCAAACCTCTCGGTTCGCAAACAGAGACTTTTCAAACTGGTAGGAAAACTACTATNTCGACTGGGGTGGAGACGTTTGAAAGATTTTGAAGCCACCTTGACAACAAGATAACTATTGTTATGAACGTCAGTCGGCAATGTTTTGGTAATAGGACGTTGAACCGCTGTGCGGTATGTTTCTATATCTAATCGCTTTCTGGAAAATTCGTGTATTTTCTATAAAGTCTTATCTTTTATGATTATTTATGTCAGCAGTTTCATTATTGAGCATACCTAGTTTGGATTTCGCAACAATTTTTATAATTTTGTTTTTTGTAAACTTGCCATTGAATTTTAATTTATTTCAATTTTGTAAGCAACTATTACCAATGTGACTTGATATCAAATCACGAATTCTGTATTTTACAAGGAACCGTTTGCCGTTCGTACTAGTTTGTATTTACTGCACTGATACCGACTGATACAGCCTCGTATTAATTGACAACTACTATTTTGATGGCTTTTGTTAAAAATTTTTCTACTGAATCCGGTAAGTTTTGTGTAATGTAAAAAACTCTTTGTAGAGACATAGTTTTCCAAAATTCCGCAATAAAATCCAAAATTCAGCCGAACACCTTTTTCGGAGACTTTAGACCTTTGTTTATTAGGCTATATTAAAACTATAAAATTATTCAAATTGTTTTTCGCGAATAAATTTCGATGTTTGAGCCTCAAAAAATTATACGTTTCTCCTTTAAAATTCCATGTCAAACATATAGTTTAATTAACACCTACATAATAATAATAATAATAATAATTATTTATTACCAAATGGTATGAAAGCCAATAATAATACGCACTTTGTTATTGTTGAGGCTTAGAGTCGTGAGGGTCGGTATTTCAGGTAAGGTTCTCAAGTCGCGGAGCTCATTGTTGTCCAGCACGAGTTCCTGCAGGTGTACGAATTCCTTGACACCCGATACCGAAATTAGCTCGTTGAAGGACAGATCGAGGCTCGTGCACTCGATACCCACAACCCCGGCCAAACCGCTTGGGACCCTTGAAACTCGTTGCCCCGTGTAACATGCCTTGACAGCCAAAAATATAATAGTTCATCCACTCAAAAGTTCAACAAACTTATACTTGCATATTTACAACCGATATACATTTTGATCGCATCAGTGAGACATTATATACGGTGTGTTATTATGTAACAATCGACTGTAAAAAAAAAAAAAACAGATATAACAGTATTATAACGTGTATGCATCTTTTCAGAAACCCGATAGGTGTATATATGTATATGTATTCGTGTATCTGTAAGGGTCATGTTTCTTTACAGGGTGTACACAAGTTAATATACGCAGATGTTTTTCGTGAGTACAGCATGGGAATATAGTGAAAAAATTTGCCCGTTGATTGTTTGCGTAAATTTGTATAAATAATAGTACTCGAAGCCCATATACATGCATGCATGTGTCCCTCGGCTGCAACTAAAAGTGTAAATTTAATTTTTCGGCCGAGTAACAGTGTTGACCAATTCTTATCGTTACCGGTCAACGTAGCGAAGGCAAAAGTCGCGTACGATAAGATACACAAATTAAAGCGCAAATAAGTTGCGCGCGCTCGATATTCGGAGATAGCGAGAAACACGTATATAATATATACACAAGTTTTGTTAATCCGTACTGCGTGCGCTGAAATTTTTCAAACACGTTAACGCCGCAATTTTAACTTTTAAAATCGATTTTCGCTGCCGTGGAACTGTCGAACGTTAATTCACCAATTATGCAGTTAACCGGTTGAAAATTTTAACGATTATTGTATAAACACTGCCTATACCAGTTGAATGTATTTTAAAGGATTATGAAAAAAAAAAAATTGAAGAACCGCAAGGAGAGCGCGTAACGTCAGAAGCGAATCAGACAAGAAACTTGTAACATCCAAAAAACGTATGCACGAACGATCAAAGTGAAAATAAAGTGTATGAACATACCCTGTGACGGCACACGGTCAGTCCAGTTCGGTTGAAGTCCTGCTGCTCGCCGGAGGTCCCAGCCATTTTACCTGCTGCAGCTCTACACCTATAGCCTATAGCTTGCTTCGGTATACGAGATACGTCTCGCGAGAACCGAGATATCATCCACACCGGCCAACCTGACTGCTGTGTCGACATAGAGCGCAAACGTAGTTTTTTCTCCTCTCTCCCTCTCGCGGCCGCGTTCACATGAATTCACGCGTATACAAATGTGTGAAAATAAAAAAGTGAGTGGTCTTGGGTGCAGTTGCGAAAGCTCGGCTTTTGAAGTGAAAGAATGGAACCATACCCATGCGCGGCTCGTTGGTCTAGGGGTATGATTCTCGCTTAGGGTGCGAGAGGTCCCGGGTTCAAATCCCGGACGAGCCCGGAGGGTTTTTTTGTTTTCAAGTTGCAGTGGGAGTGAAAAATTTTCGGTAAATCTTTTTTTTTTTTTTTTCTCATTGTCTCTCGTGCAGAGTAATACTTACCAACACAATCTTATTTGCAATATTGTCGCAGACGCTGTTTTGTTCCATTAATTTTAAATCTAATTGGCGCACACTTACGTGCGTACCATACATGTTATTTAATATAAACAAATGTGTTATTTCCCTGTTAATTCTTTGAGCGGGACATTTGAATTCTCAAACTGTCTTTTACCGAATAAGAACAGTAATCACCAAAAATGCTCCTAGCTTTACTCGTGTTTTTTTTTTTATGTAATAGGTGTTGTAATTATTGTACAAATACTTAATCGTTATAATTACCCCGGTTTTTACTTACAATAAAAAAAAAAAATGATTGGTATGGTGCAAAATATTGATAATATATCTACATTATTGGATCAAAGTCGTACTGACTCAATATAAGTTCATAGTATATTCTAAAATATGCTCCAAGTATTTGCTGCTTATTTAAAAATATAATTTATTCATTTTATTAATTGGTACATTTATCTTACCCTTAAAACAATTTTACCTCTGCTGTTTATTTATTATTTTTTTTTTTCCAAGCATAAAAAATATGTCACTGTACATAATATTTCTCCATTTCCATTCCCATTGTCTTGGATGTGTATTGTCCCTATCAGTGACGCTCCAAAAATTAAATATTTCGTTTGTTAGACTAGCTCGAGTAGCAAGATTATAATCAGTGATATAAATATAATAGTAACGATTTAACAAATAATAGAATCATTAAAAATATTTACTCGTAAGTACTGATGAAAATTTTACAAATAATATATTATCACGTGGCTCTGCAGAATATCTCCTCGGTACGTGAAAAATGCATGAGTATTTGCATTTATTTGTTAAATAGCGGTATGGATAAAAATTATTTTTTGACTGTTGGTGCAGGTATACAACCCGTAAACGCTCGTTCCAGTTCCTCAGCAATAGCCAAACTAAGGCGATCTTGATAAAGTCCTGAGACAATCTGCGAAAATTCAAAAAAAAAAAAATAATAATAATAAAAATCTTCATTGGATATAATAAACAATTATTTTGCAACGACAATCCACTAACTTGTATTCCAATGGGCAGGCCATTCTTGTTGAAGCCAAGTGGACAAGCCGTGGACGGTAAGCCGAGGACGTTGATGATACCCGTGTAAATCCAATTGAAAGGTCTGACGAGCGGCTCGAAATGCATGGGAGCAGCCGTCGGATGGGTAGGATAGATAAAAACCCCATTCTGGCCGAGCATCTTCTCAAACACTTGGCGCAACATCGCACCCTGTAGTTTGTAACATTTCTTTTTACTCTCGCCATCATTGGCCAAGCGAGTGGCCGTGAATTTCTCGAACCCAGCCGTGACGAGAGCAACGAACGTGTGCTCGCTAAGCCCAAACAGCAACTTGACGAGTTCCCGGCCGATACCCAGGGAGTACTTTCCGTCCGTCAACTCCACGGACATGTCCTTCCCGGGCGGAACCGCCATCCACGCGAACCAGATCGGCAAGGCGTCTTTGAAAGCGGAAATGTTGACTCGGGTAGCTTTCACCCCGTACGCTCGCTCCAAATGCCGGACCGCCCGCTGCATGGCCGCCTTGATCTCAGGCTCGACCGGCGTCACAACCGGACAGTTCTCCTCCTCCTCCATGAAATAGATCTAACGCAAACAACGTTAACAACAACCTCTTCCGTCCACGTGTGCACCTGTACCTTCAATTTCGAGGGGTCGATGCTCGAGTGTAGTTTCAGCCGGTCCGCGTTTTTCCCAGCAATGACCCGTAACAGCAGGGTGAGGTCCTCTGCGTGGCGGCTCAGGGGCCCAACAACGCACATCTCGTCCTGCTCCGGAGTGGATACTTCCGGGTAGTGTCCCTCGCGACTCACGACTCCCATGGACGGCTTGTGGCCGAAAATCCCGTTGAAGAAGCTGGGGATTCGAATCGAGCCGCCGATGTCCGATCCCAAGCCGCAGGGTGAACCACCTGCCGCCAGCAAGCTACCCTCCCCGCCTGACGAACCACCGCTCGTGTGCCTGCAACCATTGTGTTTTTTTTTTGTTTTTTTTGTTTTCCCTTATCATAATTTTTGCATGTAAGTACGCCTACCACGTGTTGTGGGGGTTTTTGGTGATGCCGTAAACGCAGTTGTAGCTTTCCATCCACATGGCCAGTTCGGATAAGTTGGTGGTTGCGATGGGTATACCACCGGCCTGGCGCATCAATCGCACGCACTCGGCGTCCTCGTCGGCGCGGACGTTGCGACGGCACACCAGACCGGCCGTTTGCTTCATCTCTTCGACCGCGATGCATTCCTATACGTACGATATACAGTAATGATAATAATAATATTTCTCCGATTTGATAAATATATACGTGTATGATAAAGGCATCGCAGATTTGTTTGTTACCAACCTTTACGCTGAATGGGACGCCAAACAGTGGCTTCTTTGCGGCTAGAAAATCGGCGGTGGGGGCGTTTGGGGACCGGAGCTGGCGGTCGCACTCCAGGGCTTCCTCGAGGGCTTTTTCGAAGCGTTTTTCCGTGACGCAGTTGAGGATCGGTTGGACTTCTTCGATTCGAGCGATGAAAGCTCTTACCGTTGATTCCGACGTTAACTGCAATCACAAACAATTAATCGTTCCGAAAAATAAACACTTACTTCGCTCTGCGAGCTACTGTTTACCAAAAATATATTTACAAACTGTACCAATGAATATAATCTTCATATTACGCCGTGTGCAAAAAGCGTTTGTATACGAGAAAATCCATCGGAAAAAATATCCCGTTTTGCCTCCCTATTTAAATTAAAAAAAAATTTTCTTGAGGCACACTTTCGAGGTAGGGCTCATTTTACTCGTAATGTCATGTACTACGAGGAAAAAATTTTGAACACGTATGTCAGTGAGGGTGACACCCTTTTTCCACGATTTAGACGTATATGTATAGACGTAACAATAGCATGTCAATCGCGATACATGACATTACGAGTAAAATGAGCCCTACCTCGAAGGTGTGCCTCAAAAAAAAATTGTTTATCAAAATAGGGGAAAAAAACGGGATATTTTTTGTGGATTTCCCCATATGAATAATATTCGTAATACTCTCATGTAAAACGTATATTTAAGTATATTGTAACGCTGCGAAATTGTAACGTAAAAGTCTTATCGTACGTGTGAGGCTATATATGTATCAAAAGGTTACGCAATATATTGCCGAAAATGAAATTACACTACATACACATATATAGGTATGAAAAAAAACAAGTAAACTATTTCCATATAATATTTTATTACAACTACATAACGTACTTGCCGATTACGTATTTTCGATGCCAAAGTCGAAGCACTGTCCATCACAGTAACATTTTTCACAGGTGGCTGCTTTTTCGGCAACCCGATGAAAATTAAATTTCTCATGACGAAAAACAGCTTGGCCAATAATGGCACGAGCCACATGCAAAATCTGACCGGCCAATTTATCGAGGCGTTCGTCATCGTCATTTGTGATGATTTTTTCTGGAAACGATATTGATTTTTTTATTAATTTCCTTTTTAACAACGGCACACGCCTCAATTCACATACATCATCAAATCAACTGCGAGCTGCGAGATGACACGTACCGGCACGATGCTATATATAGGCACACAACGTGCGCTTATCTCGAAAATATCTTGCAATGCGGTAACGATATCTGAATCAATTTTATAAATAAGTACCTAATAGTACGACATACTATGTTGGAAATGTGACACGTACGATGCATATACATATATAATATGCGTGTCTCAATTGCTACTTATCGCTATAAAAGTATTTACTGCTCCTCATTTTGGTGTAATTCTTGCTACAAGTGCAAATTGGATAATCTGGACAATGGTTGCAAAGCACCACTCGGAAGAAGTTTAGAAAATCTCAAATCGTCCGAGGTGAGAAGAAGTCAAGGATGACAAACGGACGATCTGAGGCTTTTCTTTACTGGGACATAGGTTAGCTGACAGGAATGTTCGCTTATTTCCAATTGGCTTATTTAAGCCTTTGGCATGAAAATTTCATTATACCTACTTACTTTTCAAAACAGAACATCATTTTCAACACTTGCATATCTTATTATTTTAATCTAACTGACCAATAATCCACCCCATAAGTGTAGTGCATATAATTAGTATACAAATGAGGTACTTGCTTCTAAAATCCTAATACCAAAAACTCAATCACTCATATAGTAATGCCTTATATTGAGGTAGTATAAGTATTTTTACTTGCAGCTTAGACTAGAAAACAACAAAACACGTATACTTCATTTGGTAGAAGTTATTTTAATCGTACATATAAATGATATAACTGGTAAACATTAAAGAAAACTTGCACACACCTGGTTTTTAGTTTTCACAAAAGGCAAATTGTCAATAGTTGAAAAACTTACCAAGGAGTCTAATAATGCATTAAATTGTCTACTTATTAGTCAAAATTTACGTTTAAATTATTGTTCTCAAAGCTTGAGTAAAAGATAGTTAAATTGTGGTGTAACTTAACCTTTGTGCTATTGAAGAGGCCTCGGAGGAGTGGGAGGTCCTCCGAGGCTCCTCCAAGCTTATAACTAAGTTAGCCCGTCGTCGTCGTACTTAAGCTAAGCAGTGTAAAAATATTTTAACATGGTTTTCATGTGTACAGGGGTCACGGGAGGCTACCCAATCAACAAATTGTAAAAATCACTTGAGGGTTGTATGAAAAAATTAAAAAAAGCTGTTGAAGCTACCAGTGATAAGATTCGTGTTGTTTACCCTTTACTTACGAGTATTTTTTTTTTGCACTGGAGATACGTGAGTCTTGGTTTCTTATTCGTAGTTTTTTTTTTTTTTGTTTTTGTTGCTGGATGCATTTTTCACAAAATAGTAATTACAGATGATAACATGACGTTTTTAAAGCCATTATTGATGACGTGTTACCCGTAGTGATGAAGAAGGATACTCTGAAGTTGCTTAGTAAGAGGATTGGACTAACTGATTCAAATGGTTGAAAAATCACAGTGCTTTGAGGGTAATTTTTATTTATTTAACATCATAATCGTCACGTTTATTAATTTATTAATGATGAGTGTTATTTTAAAGTTATTTTAATCATACAGTTAAATAAAATCGGTTGCAGAACCAACTGGTTCGGATACGTCTTGTGCTTGATGTCAGATCGATAGATCGGTAAAAATATAATTGAAAATGAAAAAAACAAAATCCAACGATATCGAATAGAATTAGAAAGGTATTTTAAAAAGTTCGCGCCAAACCGACGTGAGAGCGCGTGGGTGTGAGTAGGAAGTGCACACACACACACACATACACGCTGCTAAATAAAAAAAAGTCCTCTCTGAATATTTTGTACACATGTATATGTACACAAGTGCACACATATGCATGAGGGGAGTAGAGAGCTAGAGAGTAATGCCAGTACCGACGACTCTCCCCGAGGACCTGCAAATCATCCGTTAACGATGGGGGAAACAATTGACAGTTTAAGGGTGTGTTCCAGTAACGTTCTCCGACAACTTAATTATGTCTTACGATATCTTGCGTTATATTTAAGTTGTCGGTAATTTTTCGGAGAGCGCTACTGGAACACACGGTAAATCCCGGACCCGGAGGGCCTCTTACATATCGTATCAGGGCCCTACAATCCGACAGATGGCGTACTGTAGCCAAGAGTGTAGGAAATGTTGTCAATGACAACTTGTCATCTACTTGAGAGATAAATTATTATATTGATGTTTCGTCCCGGGAGCACGCCAGGACTCATCAGTAAGGCTGATGACGTGCTCCCTGCCTTAGATAGAATATTACGTACCTAGGCCAGAAAGTGGGGCTATTACTGACCGTGCTATATTATCATGGTAATGCATTAAACGCCATTATATATTAATTAACATGAAATCCGGGCACTTGCGAGAAAGGCGAGTGACATGGTTAGACGCCTAGCGGATGGTCGGAGAAGGACGGAGAGCCGAAGTGTACATGTGTGTGAGAGGGTCCCCACAAGAGAAAATCTCCTTATCTCCAACAAGATGTGAATCGATGTATAACTTTGAGGGACTGGGGACCCTCTCACACACATGACACTTCGGCTCTCCGTCCTTCTCCAACCATCCGCTAGTTGTCTAACCATGCCACTTGAACTTCTCGCAAGTGCCCGGATTTTATGTTGGTTAATATACATATAGGGACGTTTAAGATTGAGCTAGGATATCCCCACCGATATATAGGTGTCTAAGGCAAAGATCACGTCATCAGCCTTACTGATGAGTCCTGGCGTGCTCCTGGGACGTAACATCAAACAATCTTTTCTCTCTTTTCATGGTTATCACTCGATAGCCATATGAGATCAGCATCAGCGTCATCCAACGGGGGGCTTCGTACTTCCGGATGTTAGTTTGCCGTCAGCAAATTATCTTGTTTATTTTTTTGTATTCAAAATTCTAAAAATGATCATTTTTTTATGAAAATTTTTATTAGTCTATTAAAGAAAGACAAAAGAGTGACTGGAGCAGTAAGATTTTTTTAAGTTTTTCTTTCCGTTACAACCACTTGCAATTAAAACTACTAATTGTAGGCAATAGTAAATATGTTTTACCTATAAAAAAATTTGTTTTAATTTCAATAATCAACGGTAATGCAGATTACGATAATCGTCAAGGCTACAACCGTGACCATTGTTGCCGACTTACGAGATTCAGGTTGACCAAATTAAAAAAAAAAAAAAAAAAAAAAAAAATATAAGCAGGCTATACTTGGTAAGCGAGCATGTGAATTTTGTTTCCCGAAAACATTACAAAGTGATAACAAAAAAGGCTTTAAAAGTTAAATATTGCATTGTACTTGTAGTGTTGATTCACGCGCGCGTTCGTTGCTTCGATAGGCCCCCAGGCGAGAGCACTGGTGCGAACTTCACTTTACGTGGACATACTTCAGTTGAAAAAGTAGCGTTTTTCTTTAAAATTCCTAACCTTATATTCACGTAATTACGTGGATTTGGTGCGAATAGACACAGCGTACATCAAAATGGTATGTGAATATTATTATTTATTTTGTTGTTCAGTCTCCAAATAGAGTCGCCTTGATTTTGTCTTTAATAAGTTGATCATAAAACATCTTTGTCCCTATGAACAACTGTCGTTGAGTTGTATCTTAGACTTTTTCTTTAATTCAAGTGTATCACAAGAATAAAAAAATTAGTTTTTAATCAAATTATATAGCAATACACGCGGTTAGCGATGATTGCGATTTCTTAACCTCATATGAATGTCAACTAGCATACACCGCAAGCTCACTTCAATTATCTTTTATGCCTTCAAATTTATTCAGTTATCACACAAGTAAAGTTATACTTCAATTATTTGCGATTGTTTATCTGCGTATTCTTTCTATTACATTTGTTATCCTGGTTCCTGAGATAACTCCAGTACTTGCGTACATTGACCCTATACATAGAAAATAAAACATTAATCTTTTTTTCAAAAGAAAAGTATATGCATTTGTACGAATTAATGCAATGAGTGAATTAACATGTCTGTATTGCATATTGTGAATCAAGAATATTACATCTATGTCAATATTTAATCTAAATTCAAGTTGATCTCATCTCATTTCCAGTGATTCTCTATGACTTGCATTTAATTTTAGCAACCACAAATTATTCTGCTGAAAGAAGGGACAGACTCGTCTCAGGGCAAGCCTCAGCTGATCTCCAACATAAATGCCTGCCAAACGGTAGCAGAAGCTGTTTGTACAACATTAGGTCCACGGGGTATGGACAAATTAATAGTCAATCAGAACGGAAAAGGTACAATTTCCAATGATGGTGCTACGATTTTGAATCTTCTTGATGTTGTTCATCCAGCTGCCAAAACCCTGGTTGACATTGCAAAGTCTCAAGATGCAGAGGTAAAATGTTTTTTCACTTGTAGAGAGTATTCAATTCTCAGATTAATATTGTTATTCTTGTCGTAATGATTTATCAAGTTTAATAATTACGCAATAATAAATTCTGAGAACATTCAATGTAACTGTTGGACTGATTGTTTTATGGAAGATTCAAAACTTTCTCAAAAAGTTACGACATTTTTCTGATGTTTTGTAATTGTTATCTTGACTAAATGAAATTCGTATCGATCATTTCAATTTATTTGCTCATTTATTTTAGATTGGAGATGGTACAACTAGCGTTGTCTTGCTTGCAGCAGAATTTTTGAAACAGGTGAAACCATTTATCGAAGAAGGCGTTCATCCTAGAATCATCATCACAGCTTTTAGAAAGGCAATCAAAATTTCAACGGACAAGATAAATGAACTTAGCGTTAAAATTGAAAAAAATGATCCACAAAAAGTACGCTCCACTTTGGAAGAATGTGCCGCTACAGCGTTAAATTCCAAGTTGATTCATCAACAAAAAGAATTATTCAGTAAAATGGTCGTTGACGCTGTTCTCATGCTGGACGAGCTGTTGCCCCTGAACATGATTGGTATCAAAAAGGTTGAAAAATAAAAATTTATAGAATCAATTTCCATGGTATATTATATAGAAATATGCATTTTAAAGCTTTCATTTCTTTAGATATCTGGAGGTGCTTTGGAAGACTCAAATCTCGTAGCAGGCGTCGCTTTTAAAAAGACGTTTTCCTATGCTGGTTTCGAGATGCAACCCAAAACTTATTCACCCTGTAAAATAGCTCTTCTTAATATCGAACTCGAATTGAAGGCAGAGCGTGACAACGCTGAAATTCGAGTGGACAACGTCGCCGAGTACCAGAAAGTCGTTGACACGGAGTGGAAAATTCTCTATGATAAACTCGAAAAGATTCACAAGAGCGGAGCAAACGTCGTTCTTTCGAAACTTCCGATTGGAGACGTCGCCACACAATATTTTGCTGATCGTGATATGTTCTGTGCCGGTCGCGTCGTCGATGAAGATCTCAAGCGTACAATGAAAGCTTGCGGTGGAGCTGTCATTACAACGGCCAACGACATGAACGGGGCAGTCTTGGGGCATTGCGAAAAGTTTGAGGAACGCCAAATTGGTGGCGAAAGATTTAACATTTTCACTGGTTGCACCAACGCCAAGACGTGTACATTCATCCTTCGTGGTGGAGCTGAACAATTCTTGGAAGAGACTGAGAGATCCCTGCACGACGCTATCATGATCGTCAGGCGTATGATCAAAAACGATGCTGTGGTAGCCGGTGGGGGTGCAATTGAAATGGAGCTGTCGAAAACTTTACGTGAGCATTCGCGTTCGATTGCTGGAAAAGAGCAACTGATTCTTGGTGCTATCGCTCGCGCTTTGGAAGTCATCCCGAGGTATGTTACACAGAAATGAAAATTTCTCCCCATCTTTGGGAAAATGTTTTTCACTTAGTATTCGCTATTTTTAGGCAACTGTGCGACAACGCAGGCTTTGACGCGACCAATATTCTCAATAAGCTCCGCCAAAAACATCATATGGGCAAGTATTGGTTCGGCGTTGACATCAATAATGAAGACATTGCTGATAATTTGGAGAGTAACGTGTGGGAGCCCGCAATAGTCAAGGCCAACGCTTTAGTCGCAGCCTGTGAGGCTGCTTGTCTTATTCTGTCTGTCGACCAGACTATCAAGAGCCCCAAGAGCGGTGGTGAAGCTTCACATATGCCTGGTCGTGGTATGGGCAGGCCCATGTAATTGCATTAAACATTTTTTTGCATAAGCCTTTCGTACACAATTTGTTACTGAAATTTTTTACAAATACCTTTCTACCTTAACCGTTAGACGAGGTAATACAATTAAAATACAAAATGTTGAAAAACCGGTATGGATTGTATTATGCTTCAAAGATAGATTAACAGTTGCCTAGTACCAATGTTGAATGCATATGTACGCTTGACCAAGTAATAAAAAAAATTTACAATGTTTAACATGAAATCGCAAAAACTACGAAAAATATTTATGTTATATTTATTAACACTATTAACAAATTCATTTAAAAAAAAAATAAAACGTTTAATCAACTGTCGTTAATAACATTTTTACATTTCAATTTGATAAACTTTTGCATAACACCTATTTTCTTGTAAATTTAATTAAAAAAATAAAAAATAAACTTTTGTAATATTTTAAGACGAGGACTCTCTTTTGTATAAATATTAAGCATGAATTAGCCTGCCATAAAAGAATAAAATAATTGCTTGACAAAGGTGCAAGTAGTTACTTGTACATCATGTTTATATGGTTTGTAGGAATGATTAATTTTTTTTATAATTTTTTAAATTAGTACAGTATGAATAAAGAATTGCGTTTTACAACTTCACCTACAAATTGCTCCTGAGTGCGTTACGGATCTCTGCAGTAAAAACTTATGCGTAATAGAATGAGTCGCGAGTTTTGCGAAGAGTTACACACTTGACGGGTGATTCAATAATACAAAATTCGTTAGTATAATATATGTCACAGCGCTCAGTGTAAACAGTAAACACCATGTTAAAAACGGTGAAAGCGAGAGAAAGGCATGTAAAGTTAGTCTTAGAATCCCTCTGACTCTTTCGCTCTGATATAGTGTTTAATGAGATTTACTCGCGATCCAGTAACGCATTGACGCACCACGCATGTAAACATTCCGCGTTTTACTAAACATAAGGTGATTCTAAATACGCGATTCCTATGCTGAGTAGGTACAGGTTATATATGTAAGATGCTAAAAGTTGTTGGATTTTCGGTCGTAGGTATATATATAGAATCCTGAAAGATATATCTTGTAGAAATGTTAATTAAAGGCTCCGAAATTTTCACAAGACATATATATATATCAGTGCTCGGTTGGGGTTGGGCTCGTGTGATTTGTATGCTACCCCAGCGGAAATTTTAAAACGTAACAAAATATTAGAAAAAGTGAACATGTGTAATAGTATGCCGTAACCCGCAAGAAAATGTAAGAAAATGTAAGGAACTGTAATAGTCTCATGGATTTCAGACGTTTCTTACACTTTATTATGTTGTGTTACGTTTTTTTACATTTTCTTACGTTTTAATATGATTTACGACATGCTGTTACACTTATACTTTTTCATAATAGTTACTCAAGTTTTTTTCATTTAAGGCAAATTTTATTCGAAAATGTAAGGAAATGTGTCTAAAAGTTATCAATGATAATAAAATATAAAAAAAGTGTAATAAACTGCAAAAAACTGTAAGCTGTTATGAAACATTACAGATGACAACACTTCCTTACAGTTTATTAGAGTTTACTACAGTTGCTTTTTCACGAGATTCAAGTGTCTTTTTAGAATTATAATAAAATGTAACGAATCGTAAGACGATGTGTTGGGTTGGAGTTGACTATAATCAAACGTAACAAAACGTAGGTAACTGTGGTCCGAAATCCAACCAAACTGTACATTACATCACAGAAAGTTACGGTTTGCTACGTTTTTTCACACTAACTTTTTCCGTTGGGCTAGTTAGGCATCATTAATAAGTTGTACTGCACACACGATATACATATAACATATTATAAGTAATCCTCGTAGATCGTAAATCGTAATCGATGTGTTTTACGTACAATGTATACATACATCATGATTCATGAGTTTCATGATCATACATCATACAATATTGCAATATTGTATACCTACAAATTTTGTACAAAATGTGGAGAGAAGCACACACACACACATCAGCTCACAACATTAGTGGAAATGGAAACGGTAGAAGTTGAACCACACATCGGCCAACTCCGGACTTGGTCGGAACTGTCGGTTTTTTGAAGAGCAGCAATACATGTATACAGAGTGCCGACTGCTGATACGCTCGTAGCTCGCGGCGCTCAACTCAGCCATAGGCCAGTGGCCACTGCTCAACTCTCGCGTCGGAGTAGTGTTCGTTTGTGTATATAACTTCTATATGGGGATGTAGGTGTATAGGTTAGCAACTCGAAAATCGCGAATTACTCGGCTGGGCTGCTCGCGGCAGTACGTGCCGCGCCGTCTTGCCGGCGTAATCAGTGTTTCGCATCGAAGCCAAGAGAGAACATGCCGAGTTCCTCTGTGTAATAAATACATAATTATTACACATTACCTCTTTTACAATCTGCTCTTTTCTTTTTCCTCATTTTCTCTCTCTACCTCTTCACACCGTTGCTCCGATGTTGTCTGTTCTCTGCGAGAGAGGAGCTTACGATTTGCACGGCTCTACACCATTACACTCTAATAAATACATCGCTTTACGTTTCTTTTTTTCTCTCTCACACTCGTTCTCTGTTGCCAGATTAGTAGATCGCCTCCCAATTTACGAAGCTGTTGCCTCTTCTCCTTCTTCTTCTTTCTCTTGGTCTTCGTCATCACCTTGTTCTCTTCGTGTTTATTCGAGATATAGGCCGTAGTCGTCGTCGTCTCCTCGCTAAGAAGAAAATTACGCTGCACGCGTCTCAGTAATTTCGTTTAAGTGCAATCACGTTTGTTCGTCGCTTCAACTGTGTTAGGTGCAGCCACTTGGATATTTCGAGCATCGTCTCTCGTTGTGCGGTTAAATATATATTTGTGTTATGTTGAAGAAGCTCCCCCCGCACATCACCTGATGATACCTACACTTTCTCGAGTATTATTTACAGTTAAACATAATGTTTTGTTCGTTCGTATCAAGTAAAAGTGGTAATGTTGTTCATTTGAAGCAGAAGAGGAGGAAGCTGAAATAAAAGCACGTGATACTCGTTTTTTCTTTTTTTAAAGGGAGGGAGAGTGAGTGTTCTGTTTTAGGGTGCATACGTGATATTTTATTGGGTGTAAGTAATCTGTACTATTAAGCAACATACATCACAGGTGTATTTACGATATTCCAATAGCCATATGCAGAGTATAGTACTACGAGAGTGATGCGTTATAGTTACCCCGACTGCTCATCGGACTTGACAAACACGTTCGCTCTATATCTATACACATTGGTACAAACTGCGCCGTAACACAGAGTAACAGTATAGAAGCAGAAGCAACAGCGCCAACGCTGCCGCGGCGCAGCAGCAGCAGTAGCGTTATAGCTTCTCAAGGACAAGCACGTGGCAGCAATGTGGAGCCGCCACTGAATTTCGTGCAACCCTGCCCTTCTTCGTCGCCTTATTTTTCATTCAAGAACGGGTGACACCACCCACACGGGTACATATATATGTATATATATCTCTCCACCAAGTACCTCATACGTACTCTATTATATATAATATCCAACAAAAACAGTGAGTGTATTTATACGTGCGCGTGTGTATAGTTGTTAGTTTTTCTTACATCCAACGTGTCTGCTTCTGCTATACTCTGTTGTTGCTGTTGTTATTATTACGCAAGTATGTGTATGTATCATATACATATGTGTACATGAAGCGAAGACGCAGTTGTTTCCCTCCAAAAGAAAGAAGAGGGAGGAGCCAGCACGCCAAGGGAGATAGAAGAGCAACAGCACACGGCGGAGAGAGAACCAGAAGAGAGTAAATAGGAAAATCGGTGTGAGTTTACAGTACATGTATAGGTACAATATCATCACAAACACGGACGTCGGCGACGTTGAGAATCGGGCATACACATATTTATTGTATAGACAGTTTCGTGAATCTTCGGAGGAGCGGAGCCAGCAGGCAGCAAGCTGGATTTCGAAAGCGCGATGATGGACGGGGCCCTCGGGGGCGGCGGGGTCGGGTTCGAGCTCGACGGGGGCTTCGAGCCTCAAACGAGAGCTCGCTCGAACACGTGGCCATGTCCGCCCCGTTCCGACAGTTTTCCCGACGGTGGCAAGGAGACTGGCTCGGGCGACTCGGTCACGCCGCCACTCCAGCAGGCCGGCCTCAGTCCAGCCAGCGCGGCTCTACTTCCCATAAAAAAGAACTCGTCGAGGCGCAACGCCTGGGGCAACCTCAGCTACGCGGATCTCATCACTCAGGCCATTACCAATGCGCCGGACAAGAGGCTCACTCTGTCGCAGATCTACGAGTGGATGGTCCAGAATGTTGCTTATTTCAAGGACAAGGGAGACAGTAACAGCAGCGCTGGATGGAAGGTCAGTTGCTCTAGTGTTTTTTTTTTTTTTTTTTTCAATCGTAAATCTTTACCACCTTTCTCGTCATCGTTTTGTCATTTCAAAGTAAAGAAAATTGCTCTAACAATATTACCTATAAAACAACACCGCGAAACTGCGTATGTGCAGTACATGTTATTAAAAAAGGTGATACATTATTATTATTATTTCTCAATGTCATTTTACCAAGAGCGAGTGGTGTCGATAATCAGGAAAGAGTACGATTTCTATGGCACCGAAAAATAACGATGGAAACTTGTACTTGGTACCTACTTTTAATAATAATTATGAAACAAGCATTTTTACCATTCACTATGTGCACACATCGTGGCGACATCTGTATCAGGCCAAAGCCGCGAACACTTTACCTCTTAAGTTTTTTAAAACTTTAGCTTTGGATGAACCACAGTTAGCAATAAAGTGTCAAACGTCACTTCGATGCATAATTCTCCAACATGGTATACCCACCAGAATGAATTCTGAACAAAGAAATTCCCTATTGATCGAAACGTATGCGAACCATTACAAAATTACATTCTTAACTTGAAAACATTTTTGCGAGTGTTTCCTCGCAAAATATTGTGTTTCATAAGAAATTCCTATCAAAATTCTTTATTGACATACATAAACATATACATATATAATCGTACCTGTAAACAATCAAAGAGACGTTTGATTTTTGTAACAATGTAAACCGAATTCTTTGTTTTGTGTTATTTGATCTCTGAAAAGTGTGCTGCGTAAAGTAAAAAATTTTTTTTTAAGTCAACCTATTAGATTTGTCAATTGAAAGTGGTCGTCAATTTGTCGGTATCAGAGTTGATTATCTAAAACAATTTTTATTTTTACGTTTGCAAACTTGCAACTGAGCCATA